CCTGAAGGGAAGAACCAGAACTCAGCCGGGCCTCCAGGTAAGCATGGTGGATGCCCAGGGTTCTGTCGCCCAGCACCTAGGCTGGGAGTGGAGAATTGTGGAATCCCACCCTAGGATAGGTAAAGACACACGGCCTGATACTTGGGGGGTGCCCCAGAGAGGGGACGGCGGAGCAGCTAGCCCTGCAACCAGGACATCTCCCATGTAGGTGAAGCAGCTTATCGGGTGCAGCTGCGCACCTTCAGGGGCTGATACAGTACTGCCGTGGTCAGAAATACCCTGGAGATGTAGGGCAATGCAAACTGGAAATAGCTGCAGAAACCTAAGGGCCGGGGCTGGGCTTTCCAAAGGAGCATAAGGGAGGTAGAGGCCCAGGTCCCACTGCCTTCCATGGGATTTAAAATCCCGCTACCCGAAGCAGCACAGACCTCTGCTCCTGACAGCAAGCCTGTTCTGCAAAGTCAACGTAGCTGGGAACTCCAGGAACTGAATTTAGGGGCAGAGTTTGAAATGGGACTCTGGGCTTTATCAGTGAGTGATCAAGACTGTTAACTGCACACCTCTGAGACAGGAGCGTCTAGGTAAAGGCAGCCCGAGGGTTTTGGCCACCTAGCATCTGGTTAAAACAGTCATTTAAATGGCCCTTATGGTGTGTGTAGCAATTAGTTCTGTAGCGTAGCTGTTACCCAAGTCTGTTGTGTTTGTATCTGTCTGTATTTCTATTGTGTGTTTGCAGTGGCCATTGCCAATGTAACCACAGGCCAATAAATCCACAGATCATGGTATGTTCTAAAGCCAGAGTGTTCTAGCTCCGTTTCCAGGCTTGCATTTGACATCGGGCTTTTCTTTGGGGAAGCGTCACTGGGATCGTTTCTGAAGGAGACTGTGGTTCGAAGAGAGTTCTCTCCTGAGGCAGTGTCAGGGAGGCCTGCAAGATGGAGCCCATCAGCGGGAGGAGAAGGGGCTCTGGTCTGCATTCCTAGCCTCCTGTCTTGTAAGCTCAGAGCAGGTGGAGTAAGTTGACAAGAGGATACAAAAGCCAAGAGCGGCCCAGTAATGCAACTCGGTCAGGGTTCAAAGGAACAGCCAGGCCAACTCCGAGAACGCAGTTGATGGAAATGGTAAGATAAAGCAGTCTGTCCTGGCTGAGCAGGGATAAGTCTCCCACTGGAAAAGGTGAGACATCAAACCCAAAGAGGTAATGCTGCCCCACCCAGAATCCTCACTGCATGCAGGACCGCACAGCCACATGGGCAATATACATGACCAAGGCCCAATCTGAAAGATGAGCTGAGCCTTGAACTGTCATCCTGGTGAGTTTTCGCATCACTGATTCCTGATTCTTGGGTGCTGCTTTAGACCAGTCATTAGGTCCTTGACCAAGGTCGCACTTCCCCTGCAATTGCTCACTGGCTGCCAGACTTCGCGGAAGCTCAAGGACACGGACTCCCTCCCTCTTGTCTGTGGCGATCTGATGGAGCACACAGGGTAGAGCGCGGGTGGGGTGGAGACCGAGGCAGAACCACAGGGGGGTGCAAGCGTGAAAGTGCCATAGCTGACGTTGCAGGTAAATTGGGACCATTGGCGCCATCGCCAGCAACTCCCACCACATTGACCAGGAGGCTTCGGGAAATGAGAAGCGTCCTCAGGTACTTCTTCCCACTGGCAGGGGCGTGGTGCTGGGCTGCCATAAATGGCTGACCCAGAGCTGCCCGGTGGCCCGGGGAGAAGCCTGTGGGGAACCAGTGAAGAGAATACAGAGCAGGATGTGGAAAACCAACACGTTCACAAAGCCAGTAAGCAACTCATTCATGTCCCTGGTGCGCCATCCGTCCCTGAGGTATCCGTGAGCTAATGCAGGAGAACACAGGACCTTGAGCGTTCTGCCAGGATCCGTCTAACATGAGGTGAAACGGGCTCTATGATGGTAGCATTATCACAAACGTGTTCCAATGGCAATACCAGTTAATCCATTCTTACATACATTTCACAATAGCTGTGACTCCTGGATGTTTGGACCTAGATCCCGTGCTGATGAGCTAATTACAAATATTCAGACTGTTAAGATCTGTTTGTCTGTCCTTTCTTTGCTCTTCACCCACTTCTTGTACAGCCCTGTGAAGTGACCCAGGTCTCTGATTCTGGCCAGTTCCATCCAGGAAGAAATAATTTACCACCAACCTAGTTGGGGCCAAAGCAAAGAAACACACTTTGCTTAGCGCATCTAGATGTGAAGAATCAATACGCTCTGATCGGACAAAGTCCAAGGCAGGAACACTGGGAAACTGATTGTGGAGCTGCCAGGAGGGAGTTTACTAGGAGAGAGCTGGATTTCTGCAGTTCAGATGCTCAGAAGGAATCACGCAGGGTACCAATGATTTAGAGACAAAGGTTGCAGTGCTAATTCAGGCAAAATCCCTGTTGTGCTCAAGCCGTTGCGACAGCAATTGGGTCCTGACTGAGCCTTCACGTGAGCAGACAGTTCAGTCCCTGACGCTCATCCCCGTAATGTCTGTGCATGTCCATCTATGCCATGCAGTTAATTCCGACTCCCTGAGCACAATCAGTCGGGATGTAATTGACTCTAGCTTCATATGCAGTCTGTGCCCAATGCGTAGTTGAAAGCTGACAGGGATTTTATCTGCTGCCAAGCACACTAAAGCAGCTTTGGGCGGCTCATATGTGAAAAAACACCCATTCAGTATTCAGTGAGGTGAAGGGGTAACCCTTAAAAGCCATGCTGAGATAGACATAGAGGGACCCCCTTTCAGAGCAGGGGCGGGGCTGGCTGTGCCTTGCCGAGAAGGGTCTCTTCTCTGAAGTGGAGTGTGAAATAAAGCTGAAAGGTGCGGCTTACCTAAGGCCCTTTCACATCTCTTTACTGGCCAGGAGGTGAGGCTGCCTCTGCTGGGCCAGCTTGGGGAACGGGCCAAGCACATCACTAAATGGCCTCAAACATTCATTGTCAGTGGTTTGCAGAGGACAAAAAGGGCCAGTTTTTGCAGACATGAATGTACAGTGGGGATCAGCCCTTCTGTTCAGCTAGAATCCACCAGAACAGCAAACTGCCCGGCCCCATGCCGGCAGCGCGGCTTGCTCTCTGGCAGGAGGAGGAGGCTGCAGTGAGGGGCACTGGCCAGACTGACAGCGTACCGGACAGGCCATGTCACTGCTGATAGCAACTAGGGTGACCCGATATTAGGGGCTTTTATATACACAACTAAACACTCCTCCTCCCCCCCAGAAAAGTGTCCTGATTTCTCACACTTGCTACCTGGTCACCCTAGAGAGCACCAGCGAAGTGGGAAGGTGCATCACACGCCCAAAGGAGGCACCACCCCAGCTGCGCTGCATGGACATCCCGCGTGGGAATGAGAAGCACACTGCCCAGTTACCCGGCCTGGACGATCCAAAGGCCCCGACCGGCCAAACAGGGAGAGTTACTGAGAGAAATGCTAGGACCAAGCCACTTGTACGTGGGCATCTGCACACTCACCCACTAACCCTTTGCATGCCGTATTGCACCATTCATCGAAGGAGCTCAGAGCTCATTGACCTGGATGGGCACGGGCGTGAGAGCCAGCGCCTTTCCTGACGTCACAGGAGTAACAACTGTGGGAGTGCGGTGCTATCCTACCTGCACATCCGGCGGCCGCGAAAGGAATAACCTCGGACTAACAAACACCCCAGGCCTGACCCACACCTGGGGCAGGGTTGAGAAACTGCAAGCAAACTCAGGGAGGCAGGGGCCTCTGCAGAGAACAAGACTGGGATTGCTTTGGGGTTATTGTCTTTCAGGTTTTGGAGGAAACAGTAATTCCATTCCCCTGCACACGCGTCTGTCCGTGACCGGTGAGGGCCCAGCTCTCAGAGAGTGGCTGTTGCCACTTGTGCTTGCACCTGAATTTCAATTTGCAGGGAAGTGTGGAACTGACCTGGTGCTGTGTGAACTGACAGGGGACGTTGCTCCTGCCCAGCATGACCAGCCAGGTGTGGGAATGAAAAACACAAACCAGCCATCACCTTCCCGCTGCCACCTCAGGCATGGAGGAGCCCTCCTCTAGGCTCCTGTCACTGCTGTCCACCTCCTGTTCCATTGCATGTTCTCTCGCCAGCACGGACGCTGAGGCTGCTCCAGCCGCTTGCCCCACCTAGCTCTGTTGCAGTCAGAGTACAGCCGCGGAATGGTGCAGCTTAGCCCTCGTCTTGCATTTCTCACACGGGCATTTCTGCAGCACCCACCACTGCAGAACGAAAGTGCCCTCGGGGGCAGTGACCCCAAAAGATGGGAAGCTGCTGCTCTCGAGCGGCTTTGGGCCTTGTGTTGTGCACCCCTGAATTTGCAGTAGCATAATGAGGCACTGGGTGCATGTCCATCCAGCGTAAGGGCTCAGAGGGGACCTGCATGCCCTTGGAATACTCCTGTTCAGCCTAGGTCTCGTTAGAAATGGATCAGCTGGTTCACCCCCCTGAACACAGTTGTGGAGAGCAACAGGCCCTGATTCAATGCTGCCCGCCTCTGAATGCTAGGGAGAGCGGAGGGACAAGGAAGGTAATTTTGTGTAATATATTAACCAAGGGCTTGGCCCTGCCAATGCTACTGAGACCAGGGCCATGGGCTCCGACAAGCTGCTCCCAGCACTGAACTGCAGCCCCAGGAGAGAGGCAAGTTCCATCTTTACAATCCCAGCATTTCCCCCCCTTCACACTAGCTCTCAGGGCAGCGCCTTCCCTCCCCAGGTCACCGCCCTCACGCGTTCCCTCCGACTGGTAAAGGGAGAGGCTGATTTACAGCAGCAAGTGCCCCGTTGCGTTGCCCAGCAGGGAGCAGAGCATTAAAGGGCATAACCAGAGAGCCTTGTCAGCGCCACAGAGAGCCGGCAGCACACCCTGGGCCACTCCTCCAGATGGGCTGTGGCCAGCAGGCCCAGCATGGAACAGGCAGATTAGACACAGGCCTTGCAGTGGGGGAGGGGACTGTGACACAGCTGCCTGCCTTTGTCAGCACTACGTTTTGTGCTTTCCTTTTGTCTTGGAGGCTGGGGCTGAGAAGGCCAGGAGCCGCCTGTCCAGCTGGAGGTGCAGCTCCTCCGGGGCTGGGGCTGGCCAGGAGAGCAGGGGCCCTGGGTACGATTCAGGGAGCTGGTTATGCCTGAATGGGAAGGGCACATACCTTGTGCCTGCACCCGGATTTCTCCGTCCATGGGTATCGGACGGGGTAACCCAAGCTTGCATCGTGTCTCCGTTCAGGCTAGCGGTGGGTTACAGTTTGTTTGTGGCAGATTGCTAGGGTGACCAGATGTCCCGATTTTATAGGGACAATCCCGATTTTTGGGTCTTTTTCTTATTAGGCTCCTATTACACCCCACCCACATCCCAATTTTTCACATTTGCTGTCTGGTCACCCTACAGATCGCACTGGGCAGGCAGCAGTTTGGCTGAAATCAGTGGCAGTCTCCCAGCTGAGCAGTAGCCGTGGCCCTTGGGTAAGGAATGGGGGTGGCTGTGCACCGTTGCAGCCCCTGCGTTTTGCCCCAGAGGGGGCTGCAATTTAGCTCTCTGTGCTGGCTTCCCATAGCATACCGAGTCTCGGACCCGATCTTCAAGGTGCTGTGCGGCCTGGGCTCAGTGTATCTAGAAGGGCCTACGGCTCCGGGCTGGGCACAGAGACCCGTAACTCCAGCCCTCGGGCCCATGGAACTTTCTACCACCGGGGCAGAGCCCGGCTGGGCAGCAAACAGAGCGTCCTGCGGGGCCGGTCCCAGACCGCGGAACAACCCCCCAGGAACTCAGGGCCACCCCAAACCTCCCCAGGGGCCCTGCTCCCACCGGCCTTCTCTGACACAAACCCAGAGCAATGCGTATGTTAAAAAAAACCTTCCAAAACAAACCACTCCGCTGTACACACAATCCTTCCCCTGGTGAGCGGACGAGAAAGCAAACCACACGTGAGAGATGCTAGCTGCATTGCTTAGTGCGCTGCTGGATGGTGTTCAGTGTAGGAACAGGATTTTATATTTGTACTATAAGAATTAATATATGATTTGATCATCCTGCCAGCCACCCCTTTTTGAATAGCAGAAAGGAATGACCCTCTGGAACTATGAGAGATTCTGTTTCCCATGCATCACAAATTAGGCCCTTCTAGGTTTTTTTAAGGTTTAGTTAGTAAGAGATAGGATCTCATACCGTGTCTATGTTAAGCATATTAGAGGGATGTTGAAGGCCTGGGCCCCACTGTGAATTGTTTTGGTTATAAGATGTAGTAAGTTTTAATTTACAATGTCTTTTCCCTTGATATAAAATACTGCTGTTTGTATTCTTAAAGGTCTCTGTGAAAGACTGTTTGTGTGAATGAGGAATGTATGCATCAGGAAAAGATAAGGTGTGAAGGTCATTGTTATAGCTCAAGGAAGAAGGAGTGAAGAAACTTAATGACATCAGAGAACTATCAACGGGCATCCATAAGGAAGGAAGGGCAGACTGACAACCCTGAGGTGGAGGTTGGCACCCCAAAGACAAGACAATTGATTAAATCGAAACCAGGACAGGATGACCTTCTCAGAGGTGTTTTGGAATGTTAACATCAAAAGATACACCAATTAAGGACTAACCAGTCACAAACCGACACAGCAAAATCCATAGACCTCAACAGAGAAAAAAAAAGATTGTAAGAACAGGGTGCTTGGCCATGGGACTTTGTGTTCATCTTGCCACACTCCAGGAGCTTCGGATCGCAAACGACAGAGCCCTGCTCCCCTGTGCAACCAATCTGACTGGCTGCTAGATTGATCCAGACTCTGGACTGGTAAGTCTAAACATCAGCTGGCAGGACTGTGTTCATGGGTGTGTGTGTGTGATTGAAAAGCATATGCTGACTGTTGAATTCTCAATAAATGCGGTGTGCTGCCTTCTCCCCTATAAAGATCCCGGGTGCTTCTTATAAGTATCACATCAGATACTACTGTGCTCAGGGGTAGGAGAACCTATAGAGACTAGAACAGAAGGGAATTCATTCTGTGCTGCTAAAGGGTTTCTTCTTTTGGGGATCCCTAGGATCTAGAAAAGCCAGTTGCCCTGGGCTCCAGCTGGATCTGACAGCACGATCCTTATGTGAGTACCATGCAGCCTTCGGCAAACCCCAGCCCGCTCTGAGGTGTTTGTGACGGGCTGGATCACAGAAACCCCCCTGGGGCTGCCAACGGAGGTGCTGAGACTACTTCTGCCCCTGCTTTCCCTGCCAGCCTGGGACTCCAGCACCCTCTCTGGCTGAGCCAGACACGCCCGTCTGCTCCAGCACAGACCCAGGGTCTGAACCTCGTGCCCCAAAGCTGCAGACTTAACTGAAAGCAGCTTACAGAAGTGTTCCTGTCTTTAACACTCGATGCCCAACTCCCAATGGGGTCCAAACCCCAAATAAATCCATTTTACCCTGTATAAAGCTTATATAGGGTAAACTCATAAATTGTTCGCCCTCTACAACACTGTTAGAGATATGCACAGCTGTTTGCTCCCTCAGGTATTAATACATACTTGGGTTAATTAATAAGTAAAAACTTATTTTATTAAATACAGAAAGTAGGATTTAAGTGGTTCCAAGTAGTAACAGACAGAACAAGTGAATTACCAAGCAAAATAAAACAAAACACGCAAGTCTAAGTCTAGTACAGTAATAAAAAGTGAATACAGATACAATCTCACCCTCAGAGATGTTTCAATAAGTTCCTTTCACAGACCAGACTCCTTTCTAGTCTGGGCACAATTCTTTCCCCTGGTGCAGCCCTTGTTCCAGCTCAGGTGGTAGCTGGGGGATTTCTCATGATGGCTGCCTCCCCTTGTTCTGTTCCACACACTTATATATCTTTTGCATAAGGTGCAAATCCTTTGTCCCTCTGGGTTCCCACCCCTCCCTCTCAGTGGAAAAGCACCAGGTTAAAGATGGATTCCAGGTCAGGTGACATTACCCACTTGCCAGCACACACGTATACAGGAAGGCTTACAAGTAAACAGAGCCATTGTCCTGGTTAATGGGAGTCATCAAGATTCCAAACCACCATGAATGGCCCACACTTTGCATAATTACAATAGGCCCTCAGAGTTATATTTTATATTTCTAGTTTCAGATACAAGAGTGATACATTCATACAAACAGGGTGACCACACTCAGCAGATTATAAGGTTTGTAATGATACCTTACAAGACACCTTTTGCATGAAGCATATTTAGTTACATTATATTAACACTCATCAGCATACTTTCATAAAATCATTTCAAGTGCAACATCACAGTGTTCTCCTCAGCTCCCGCCACAGAACTTAGATCCGTCCCTGGGGAACCTGCCTTTGCAAGGGACTGGCTCCTCTCAGGTGGGGATATCGTGTCAGGCTTCAGCACAGGGGGAGGGGAGCTGAGCTTTCTAGGAGAAAGTCCCCCAGAGTCATGCACTAGCAGAGCCTCTTGCAGGAGCAGGGTCTGGAGAGCCGTCCGACAGGCCCTTTGGGGAGCCCTCGCAGACAGCACCCTTCCCCAGGCAGAAAAGGCAACTCTCTCACCTCTCGGAAGTGGGGAACGCTGTGGGGTGGGTAGGACACCCCACAGGCCATATTCTTCCAGACCGAGCTGGCACGACCCATGGTGAACTCAAATGGCCAGAAATTCAACCAAATGGTCAGCAAATTTACACAGGGTAAGGGCAAGCTGACAGCACAGGGTGTGGCTGCTTCTGGGGCTGTGCTGGCTTGGGGAGAGCATGGCAGGGCGGGCGGGGAATTCACAGGCTCAGCCTATGGGCTGTGGGGGTCCAGGGACAAGCGTGTGCCCTGTACCCGCCAGATGCTCCTCCAAAAGGTCCTGTGGCTGGGCACATGACTCCTGCAGGGGCATGGTGGAGGCAGTGACCTGAGTTCAGGCTGGCCTAGGCACAGCTGTGTTGGTTTGGAGAACTGTAAATGGTGCAGCCCCAGCGTGGAGGTGGTTAGACTGGGAGACAGGGGTAGCTGCTTCCTGCCCGTGTCCCTTGTAAACGTTATGGTGCCGTGGCAGCTCCCAGCCCGCCACACCGACCACCACTGCGCCTCTCGCCGGGTTGGCTGTCGCCTTTCCTGTCTGTTCCAGACCGTCGTCGTTCCCTGCTGTCTGTATGGTGCTGGTGCCCTGTCACGGCTCAGGCCCCATGGTGCTAGGTGCTGGACCAGCACAGAGCACAAGGACGGCCCCTTCCCCAAGCGTAAGGCAAGGGACAGCTGGTGGAGACGATGGATGGGCAGCACGAGGAGCCACAAGGATCACAGGGAGATGCTCTAGGTCTGCTCCCCATTAACAGCCTCTCACTTTGGCTCCAAAGGCTAAATAAACCAGCGGCTCTAGGAGCACAGCCCAGCTTTACAGAGAGCATTTCATTTTCCTTCGTCCCCCGGCAGGGGCGCAGACTAGGCCCCCCTTGAGCTGCCCAGCCTGGGTCACTCTGCAGCTCCCGGCACTGCAGGATCTGAGCACCTCACGGCTCGAGGCTGGAGAACCAGCCTCCCCTCCCACCCCTGTCCCAAATGAGACCATCAGGGAAAGCTTCCACTCTTCCCCCTGCCCCGCCCCACGCTCTCACTGTGTCTGGCTGGGGGAGCCTGGGTGGCTCTTGCAGGGGACAAGGCTCTGCAGCCAGCAGGGTCAGAGGCCACCTGGGCGCATGTGTCCGCTGGGAGGCCAGGGCACAAGGGACCAGCTCATTTCTTGTCATTAGCGCTCCCTCCAGTGGCCGGACGCGGTATGGCAACGCCAGGGGGCCTGATTCTGCACTCACTTTATCCCCATTCCCAGGTTGCTGTCAGACAAACGTCACGGATATGAAAAGGGAGACAGCAGCATGCTGCTGACTAGGTGTGTCACAGAGGACGCGTCCAAGTCTGCTGGCACATGTAGGCCACCCGAAGTTGCAGCTTAAAGAGCCAAATCCTGTGACTGTTATTACGGGAACCCATGTTGCTGGTTGAAATATGGGACAGAGGTGCTAGGAAAGGGACAGAATCTGCCACTGTTACTCACACTGAGTAGTGCTTTACTCCCCCAGGGTACTCGCAGAGTGAGGTGCTACTTACCATGAGTAGGGACGGCAGAGTCTGGCCTGAGATTACCTCAGTGCACAACTGTGTGTATCTCAACTAGAGGAGAAGGTCTCTGGAGCAGGCGTAAATCCAGAGACTCGCTGGGCCTTCCATACTCTGAAAAGCATCTCTGAGCTCCAAAGCAGGGCAGCGATCTCACACAAGTATCTACGGCAGCAAGGAGGAGATTGTTCAGACAGGATGCTGACAAATTGGAACCGGTTCAGAAACGGGTTTATTGCTACAAGAAGGACTCAGGGTCTGGGAACTTGCTTCAGAGCAAGAGACTAAAAGACGTTCAGTTGATTTATCTCACCCAGGAGAAGGCTGAGAAGTAACTGGACCATGGGCTCTAAGGGCCTACCTGGGGAAGAGATTTTTGATCGGCGGCAGCTCTTTATTCTAGCAGCAAAAAGCAGAACAAGGTTGAATGGCTGGAAGCTGAAATTCAGACTGGAACGAATTAGAGCTAATTTTCAAGCAGGGAGGGGAATTAACCATTAACAACCCACCGCGGGTTCTGGGGGTTCTCGGTCACATGACATCCTTCAGTCCCGACCCGAGGAAGTTTGGAAGGAAATGCTGTAGCCCAAATGGAGGGTCTGTGCTCAATGCAAGAATCGCTGGGTGAAAGTCTCCTGGCATTAAAACTCACTGAGAGTGTGATTGTCTGTCGGGCACTTGGGGAAACGGGCATGTTCCTTATTGTTCTTGTTGAAGATTGTTTAAGACCAAGCAGCTCTGGGGTCAGTTGTTCATCAGCAGATTCCTCTCCCTCCTCACCTATTAGGGGCAGACTTTCTCCAGGTTAGTAATACTCAGTTTGTAAAAGCCTTTCTGAGCGCTAAATTGTGCCTTCAGACAAAGCCCTGAGCCCGGCGGGTGCCTCAGACAAGCCCCCTCCAGGAGAGCGGAACCACACCCCATGCAAGCTCAGCTGTGCCAGCTGGTGTTTTGGGGGTCAGAGCCCAGGCTCCACTTACTTCCCACTTCCCTGTTCCGGGGTAAGCAGGAAAGGTGCCCAGTATCTACTTGCCCCAGTGCACGGTGTCGCCCACGTGTGGGCATGACGAGTCCCCTGTGTGGGTTTGTGGCCCAAGTCACCATCGAGCCCTAGTCCTGTGACACTAGGAGTAATAACCCACTTTGAGGCTGGCTTCTTCCTACAAACCTTAATCGATTCTCCCCGTGCTGGGGTGCTTCCCTGCCCCTCCCGTCTCCCATCCCTGGTGGAGGGTTCGCAGCCCACAGCCCTTAGGGCAGGCGCTTGGCAATCACACTGCTGCTCAGCGTTCTCCTCCCCAGCGGTTCTGAGAGCTGCTCTGCCCTACCTGGGACTTTAAGCTGCCCCGTTTCCCCTCCACACACCCAGAGCATGGAGCTGTCTCCTGTTGCGTCAGAGCTTGCTGGATTTTGGGATCATAGAATATCAGGGTTGGAAGCAGGGGTGAAAGTAAGTTAGAGAACTTACCAGTACGCTGGAGTGCTGAGCCAGGGGTGTGGCCTCAACCGGAAGAGGCAGGGCCTTAAATTCCCAGGCCCTTTAAATCAAGATTTAAAGGGCCAGGGCTCCAGCTGCGCGAGTGGCGGCTGGGAGCCCGGGGCCGTTTAAATCACCCCTGAGCTACCAGCTGCAGAGGCGGGTGGGAGCCCCGGGGCCCGGGGGTGATTTAAAGGGCCCAGGGCTCCAGCTGCCGCTACTGCAGCGGAGCCCCGAGCCCTTTAAATCACTGAGGAGCTGTGGGGGCTCCCGGCTGCCACCGCTACCCCAGGGCTCTGGGCTCCGGCAGAGCTTTAAAGGGCCTGGGGCTTCGCTGTGGTAGCAGCTGCCGGAGCCCCGAGCCTTTTAAATTCCCGCCTGAGCCCTGCTGCCCGAGCCCTGGGGTAGCGGCGGCAGGGCTCTGGCGGGGATTTAAAGGGCCCTGGCGAGGGGGGTAGCAGCGGCTGGAGCTCCGGGGCCCTTTAAATCCCCGCCGCAGCCCCGCCACCGCTACCCCAGGGCTTTAAATTGCCCTCTTGGAAAGCCGGTCCTGGTACGGCACACTGGCTCTTACACCGGCTTACTTTCACCTCTGGTTGGAAGGGACCTCAGGAGGTCATCTAGTCCAACCATGCTCAAAGCAGGACCAATCCCCAGCTAAATCATCCCAGCCAGGGCTTTGACAAGCCTGACCTTAAAAACTTCTAAGGAAGGAGATTCCACCACCTCCCTAGGTAACGCATTCCAGTGTTTCACCACCCTCCTAGTGAAAAAGTTTTTCCTAATATCCAACCTAAACCACCCCCACTGCAACTTGAGACCATTTCTCCTTGTTCTGTCTTCAGCTACCACTGAGAACAGTCTAGAGCCATCCTCTTTGGAACCCCCTTTCAGGTAGTTGAAAGCAGCTATCAAATCCCCCCTCATTCTTCTCTTCTGCAGGCTAAACAATCCCAGCTCCCTCAGCCTCTCCTCATAAGTCACGTGTTCCAGTCCCCTAATGATTTTTGTTGCCCTCTGCTGGATGTTTTCCAATTTTTCCACATCCTTCTTGTAGTGTGGGGCCCAAAACTGGACACAGTACTCCAGATGAGGCCCTCACCAATGTCGAATAGAGGGGAACGGTCACGTCCCTCGATCTGCTGGCAATGCCCCTACTTATACATCCCAAAATGCCATTGGCCTTCTTGGCAACAAGGGCACACTGCTGACTCATATCCAGCTTCTCGTCCGCTGTCACCCCTAGGTCCTTTTCTGCAGAACTGCTGCCTAGCCATTCGGTCCCTAGTCTGCAGCGGTGCATGGGATTCTCCCGTCCTAAGTGCAGGACTCTGCACTTGTCCTTGTTGAACCTCATCAGATTTCTTTTGGCCCAATCCTCTAATTTGTCTAGGGCCCTCTGTATCCTATCCCTACCCTCCAGCGTATCTACCTCTCCTCCCAGTTTAGTGTCATCTGCAAACTTGCTGAGGGTGCAGTCCACGCCATCCTCCAGATCATTAATGAAGATATTGAACAAAACCGGCCTCAGGACCGATCCTTGGGGCACTCCACTTGATACCGGCTGCCAACTAGACATGGAGCCATTGATCACTACCCGTTGAGCCTGACAATCTAGCCAACTTTCTATCCACCTTATCGTCCATTCATCCAGCCCATACTTCTTTAACTTACTGGCAAGAATACTGTGGGAGATCCCCTGTCCCGCAATGTGCTGCATCCGAGACATTCATTCCTGGCCCTAGGAGTGGGGTCAGCAGCACCAGGGTCCCTTGGGGGAGCGCTCTAGGGGCTCAGCCCCTGCAGGGGAGACACTGCAGGGGAAGGTCTGAGGGGCAGATACCACACTGGGGGTTGAGGAGAGGTGAGAGTTTGAGGGCAGCCCAGGGTCAGCTCCAGGATTTTTGCTGCCCCAAGCTCCAAGAGCGCAGCTGCCCAAGCAAAATAAAAAGGGTGGCCGGACGCCGCCCCTGGAATTGTGCCACCCCAAGTATGTGCTTGCTTGGCTGGTGCCTAGAGCCGGTTCTGGGGCAGACACCCTGGGAGGACATTTAGAGGGGTAGAGGCAGACACTATGGGGGAGGGTTGGGGCATTGGGGGCAGCCCAGGGGGAGTCTCTCATTGAAAAGATAGCTGTATGCTCCCCCCGCCCCAGGAACATTCCTGCTAGGTGAGGGCCCCTCCCTCAGCCCAGAGCCCCTTGGCAACGGCAGCTCAGAGAGCCAGGGCCCCTATGTGCCCCTTGGCAGGGGCAGGGGAGGAAGTCCAGCCTCCAGAGCCCCGCTAGGACAATAGCCAGGCCCAGGTGGAGCTGACGGGGCGCTTTTGTTTGTCCCTCTCACTGCTTAGAGCCAAACAAAAGGGGCAGTCAGACGTCACAGCGGCCGCATTGTGCCGCGGGGAGCAAAGCGCTGAGCCGGCAGCTTGCCGTGACCTCGCTTGTTTGGAGAGCACTGCAGGGCGAGAAGGCCCCAGGCCCCGGCAGCCTCACAGCAAACACGGGCCGGGCCTGGCCTGGCATGTCCCGGCACAGGGGCCTGGCCACAAGGAGCCCAGCCCGTCCAGCCAGGGGAAAGAAGGAGCCTGCCAACCCAGGGGACTCGTGGCCTGCAGGGCTCAGCCTGGGTTGAAACACACTCACACCAGGCCACTTGGGATGAGCCCAGGGCAGGGATGGGACAGAGAGAGATCCGGTTACTATGGTTACCGAAGAGCACTGGGACAGGCAGGATTGGGGCCATGGAGCGTGGGGCCACCAGTCCAGGCTGGAACCAGGCTGCTGGTAGACGCTTTCTGCAGGACTCAGAGCTAGCAGGGGAGTATTTAACAGCGGTGCCCTGGCTCCCAGGCACAGAGCAGGGCCTTGCTATGCAAACCCCCCGCACACACACAAGAGACAGCCCCTGCCCAGAGAGCTCACAGGCTGGGGCTCTGTTAAGACACAGCAGGTCTCCTGCAGCCCACAAATGCCCCCCGAGCTGCTCTGCAAATCGCCAAGAGAAGGGGTCTCCTCCGGCACATGCCGAACCATCTGCCCAGCTTGGATTTTAGCTCAGAGGCTCTGGTTACCCTCCCCAGAGGGGAAGCAGGGCTCTGTGAAGCTCGAAGCCTGTACCGTCCACACCAGAAGTTGGTCCCTCACCCACCTTGTCTCCACCAGGACAAGGGTAATTCTAGGAGCCTGCACCCTTCCGCCCCCCCCCCGGTGAGCTGAAGGTCAGGTGCTGGCCCAGAGCGTGGCTGCAGGTTCTATTCCTCCCCCCGACTCAGCACCACCCTGAGCAGCTTGGCATTCGCCTGCAGAGATCCTGGGAGGCCCCCGGTGCTGCAGGATGTTACACACCCTGGAGAGACCCCTCTGCTCAGCACCAGCGGCAGTGAGCTGATGGCCCTGGAAAGCTGGGCTGGGGAACTAGCAAGCAGGGCCCTGGCGTGTGGCCTGACGCTCCCACTGCACCAGGCCTGCGCTCAATGGTATGGACCTGGGGTGATGAACTTCGTTGTCTCTGCCAGCGTCCAGCAGCTGCCTCTGTCTTGGAGCCCTCAGCTGGAGCCATTCCCAAGCTGCTCTCAGACAGCAAACCCCCAGAGAGCCCCGGCTGCCCACTGGGAGGGAGGTTAATTAACACAGAAATCAAAACCCAGGTAACGTTCAGCTCTGATGCCTTCACCTGCTTTGGGGCTCCTAGAGAGGAAGGACAGCTGAACGGTCAGGGTGCTGACCTGAGGCTTGGGAGACCAGTCTTCGGTTCCTGGTTTTGCTACTGAATCCTGCGTGACCTTGGGCCAGTCACTTAGCCTCTCTGGGCTTCAGTTCCCCATCTGAACCATGGGAATAATTCCCCTCATGGTGTAATCTGTGGGATAGATCCACTAAAGGTGGTGAGGCTCCCAGACACTAGGGTGATGGGGGCTGTCTGAGTACTAATATAAATGAAGAGGGGTCCTCCCTCAGGGTCACTCAGCCCACACCCTCGATCTTCTCTGCCCAGAGAGCTGCTCCCTTTCGTTTACCTGCATGTCGGGTAACAAGCCCTCTGGCTTGGTCAGGCAGCAGGACTCACCCCTTTCCCAGCAGCTGCTAGCAGGCTGGGGTGCTTCAGGCTGGTTATCATCCCCCCTTCACTCTTGGTCTCTTCTTTCTTCCCTTGTTGGGGAAAATCTTTGTTCCATTCCACGAGGCTCATCTCTGAAACCAGTCAAACCCTGGCCTGAAAAAGGAAATGCCAAGAACCTTTCTGAGCAACCATGGGGGGTGTCCCTAGTTGGGGCGGGGAGAGAGCGGCCAGAGACAAAACCCCAAGCTTGTCTCATGAGAGAATGATGCTGCCAGGCTGGAAAGTACCAGAGCAACGAAGCTGTTGAGTCATTTGTGACCAAGATTAGCCATGCAAACAGCCGACCGTGGATCAGACCATGGGGCTGAGCTGCTGGAATCTCTGAGGATCAGCAGAAAGGACCGGAGAAAGCATAGTGCTGACTGCTTTACAAATGCTGGCCAGGGGCCCCGGCCAGCCGGGTGCTATATAACCAGAGGTGCTGGAACAGGCAGATAGCACATGGAGGAAGCAGCAGCAAGCTGAGCTAGGTGAGTCCTGGGGCTGAATTTTCGACTTTTCCTATCGCCTCCTCCATTCTCTCTGCTCTTCCAAGAGACAGGCAGACACAGCCTCCTTCCCGCCTGCTGACAGGCGTTGAAACAAGACGGCCAGGAGTTAGCCCTTTGCAAAGACAGCTCTCGACTTGGGCCTATCAACCCATGGCCAAGTGTCTCCGGTCACACACATGGAGTGACAGCCAGAGACACCGACAAGGTAGTTCGGGAGGTTTCAGGTTAACACCCCGCCCAGGAGCTTGGGAATCGGCCTCCTCCTTCACGCTCTCCCATTTTCAGTAGAAATGATTTCCTCACCGCAGCTAGCTGTTGAGGGGCAAAGTAGCCAAGTCTCTCGAGGGTGCGTGGACGGGGCGGGAATACGTGTCTGGAGGATGCAGCAGTGCATAGCTGGAGATAGAGGTGATGTCTCGGTTATACCTGGGCTGCATGGCCTGGAGATGAGCGGTCACTCGTAATGTTTAATGTCTATAGCGTGGTAACGCTCCCACGCCCCGACTGGGGCTGGGGTTGAGGCCTCATTGCACTAGGTGCTGTGCAAACACTTAGGAAGATGTGCTCCGTAGCCCAGAGATCTTCACCCACCCAGACACGGAATACTCCCACTCCCACCCACACACGGAATACTCCCACTCCCACTCCCACCCACATACCCAGACACGGAATACTCCCACTCCCACCCACATACCCACCCACCCAGACACGGAATACCCCCACTCAGATTGAGAACAGCGCTGCCCCCCCCGGTCTCTGCCGGGATCATGCGGAGTGCATGGGGCCAGTAGTGAATGGAGGGGTGACCCAGTGAATGAGGGGATGGTGGGCGCCAGCGAGAGTGTGCAGAAAAGCTTTTCCAAAGGAGCCTGCTTGGCTCTGTGCCAGTGTCACTCTGACGCGAGTTGTGCTTTTCCCTCCTTTTCCAGGCACCAGCCCCACAGCGAAGATGGCTCAGACGAACCCTCTGCCTGGCCCCACGGGCCCGTGGAAGGTACGTCCCAGCTGTCCCGCGCGTTAGGACTTGTAGCATGGAGGGCCTCGAGGCCCCTGCTGAGTGTGCACTGCCCACACATTAGATGTGACCCACAGGGAAAGGAAATGACTGGGCCAAGGTGACCCATCAGTGGCAGAGCCCAGGTCTCCTGCCCCCCTGCCGGATCACACCGAGTGCACCCCGCTCTGGTTGCGCAGAAGTCAGGGGCAGGAGTTCCCCATGTGCCCTGCTGGTGCGAATGCTCACTGGCCCAGTTTCGGAAGTCGCTTGCTGGGCAGGTGCGGGCCAGTCAAGCGCAGCAGCCCCATGGTGGGAGTGCGAAGGTGGAGGGGAGCAAGTGTGGCTGGAGCCAAGGCAGCTGAGGTCTGATGGAGCTGCCACCAAAAGGGTGGGCTAGCGTATTTGCAGCATTCTGGCAAGCCGGGGAGCAGCTCTGTCCTGCTGGGCGGGAGAACGAGAAGGAAAAAGAGAAAAAGGTGTGTAAATCTGGGGGGTGGACAAAGAAGCTGCTGCCACAGATGCTGCTGGGGGGAGGTGATGATCCTGTGAAACAGGCCAGTGCACCAGGAAAGTCCCTGCTCTTCCTTTCTCCACCTAGTCCTCTTTGCACTGGAGACTTTGGAGTGGAACTAGTGTGAGTTCTAAGTGCAGCCTAAGACTGTCTACTCTGCAGCCTACTCTCAGCGCATCTCTGTGCACTCAGCGGGGCTGTGATCGCTTCCAGACCCCTCCCGGGGATGCCCCAGCCGAGTCCAGAGCTCATTGCCGGAGACAAGCAGCTGTGTGGTTCAGGAGAGGGCGCCGTAGGTGAGGGTGAGAAAGAACATGTCCATGGCTGGGCTGATCTCTCATGCACCTGAGTACTGCAAGGCCCAGCTGGGTGTTAGAGCCCCATAGCTGGAACAACAGGGGCGCTGTGGGTCAGCCCCGAGGAGTGCAGATGCAGCCCCGAGGAGTGCAGATGCAGCCCCGAGGCATTAACCTTAACTCTTGTTCAAGGAGCACCCAGTTTACCTGGACTGTTAATGTGCACAGCCCCCCACCCCCGCTTCAGTGACACTCATGTGGGGACGACTTCCTTTCAGCTCACAGCCTACGACCAAGAAAACTTCCAGGGAAAGAAGATGGAGTTCACCTCGGCCTGCCCCACTGTCACTGAGTGCGGCTTCGAGAACCTCCGCTCCCTAAAGGTGGAATGTGGCGCGTAAGTACAAGGCTCCCGCCTGGCTTTGGGGGGCTGGCAGGCGAGGACCGAGCACGGATGGGCCGGGTTGTCATCTCACCTCAGAAGTAGTTTGGCCGTTCTGCTAAAACACAGGGGCTACGAGCCAGGTGGCTCCCAGGCTCCACTTACCCAGCTGGGGGGAAAGCGAGTGTCCCATTTCGGGTCCTGTAGTGCCTGACTGTGCCCAATGGGGGAGGGAGCAAAGCCCAGATGGCACCAACACAGAAATGTAGGTCATTAAAGTGAACAGCGGGACAATCTCACCCGTGGCAGGCTTGTTTCTGGAGAAAGGAGTTGACGGGGGGGCTGGCGAGGGGCAGGGAGGAACGGCGTCAGATTTTGCACAGTTGAGCCTGTCTTTGTGCTGGAAGCCTTAGGTCCTTCATATACAAGCAGCAGCTCCACCCCCACCACAAGCATCCAGAGCAAATCCTAGGCCACAGCTACCAGCCTGCTGGCAAACCCTTGCCAGCCTCCGTGACAGCCTTAGCCAGTCGCAGGCCTTGTCTACATGGGAAAGTCACAACCCTGGGCTGAGATGGGGGTTAAGCCCATGACTTCAGTTTAAGAGCGGATCTGAAGCTGCAGCCAGGGTCTGCACTCTGGTCACCTACGACACACCAAGTCAACGGCTAGAGCGTGGGTCAGTGCGATTCAGCGTAATCCCGTTCCCAGTCAGCTTGAGCTAACCCCGAGAGCCCCAGCTCGTGCCCACCCAGGGCTCTGCACCAGACGAACCGCATCACTTTGAAATTGCTTAACCCAGTGCAGCTTCCTTATGCAACCAGGCCTGCCAGCCTCAAGGCAGCCGCCTGTGGAGAGCGGAGGGCCCTGCCCAAAGGCATCTCCCCTTCCCAGCATCCCCAGAGACAGCGTGACCCCATTTGCACCAGAGCCCCGTCCAGCTCTGTGTCTAGTGGGCCAAATGGAACCTCCCAGCTTAGCGAGCCCTGCACTAAACCATTCTCTCAACCCAGGAGAGCCAGTCTACCCCAGACCCGCCTGCAGAGCGACTGTTGGCCTGGAGCCCTTGACTGCTTTGGATCCCAGCAGTCAATGACACTGGCTCGGCCCGGTGGCTGCCATACAGGAGAGCTGAGCCCAGGCACCAGGATGCACTGGCCACATGCTCTGCCTGGTAGCAGCATGCCTGCAATACAACCAGCTAGGTAAGCAGCAGCGGACTCTGAAGAGACCCCTGCCTGATTGCTTTGCCCAGAAAGTTGGGTCCACAAGACGGGTGCACAGCAGAAAAAAGTGGAGAGACTCAAGGCTCCAGGAGCGAGAGGCACCCCTCTCCACAACCAAAATGGGGAATCCTCTGCACAGCAGAGGGACAATTTCTCTGCCACTTCCAGCCCATTAATGCCGAGCAGTGAGAACCCCGCTGCAGTTAGCAGTGTCAGCCTCTCTCTCCTGCTTCCCCACCCCTAACGGGATTAAGGCAAAAGGCACGAGCTAGCCAGGCAGCAGCAACCAGCTCCCTCCTCCAGTGGGCCATTCACCAGGATGCCAACGCAGCATAGGCCACAGCTAGTGCCACTCAGCCCTCCAACCACACTGTGTGCTCGGGCGAGCTTGTTTTCCCTCAAACACTCCCTGTGCCCAACAAGCCACCTTGAAAACCTGTGTCCAGCTGAGGTGGGGATCAGCCACGTTAGAGATTCTAATACACAGAGGACAGGAGGGGACTGCGGCAGCCCGCCCCTGGGCAACCTGACAATGCACCACGGTTCCCCATCCCACCTGGCATGCGAGTCACTCGCTCTCCTAGGCAGACAGGTGCAGGGACGCAGCGGGGTTGGGGTTGTCTTAGAGGCTCAGACTCCCAGCCTTCCCTAGTCGCATCCAGGCTGCCTCCCGGCTGCTTTGCGGGCCCTCTGGTGGGCAGCATGGGTACCGGCCCCACACAGAGACTCGCCAGGTGTTGTGTCCTGTGGACACAAGAGGCGACCGGGGAAGCATCTCTCAAAGCGGGGCTGTGGTGGAGGAGAGAGGCAGGCGAGTGGCTGGGAGAACCGGGGCGGGGGTGGCGTGGTTCTGACGTTAGGAATTGTGCCCGTGGCTGCCATTGGGGCAAGGGGGGAAATTAGCACGACAGTGCTGCAAGAGAGCGAAACCCGAGCAGCAGAGGAGCTGAGCCAACATCTTGTGTGTTAGTCCCCTATAACACCGATGCCTAACAAACACGCTAGAGCAGGGCGCCTCTCTGGAAGATCAAACCTCCCCCAGCCCTTTGGTGAAAAACCCCCGCAGTGAAAAACCAGCTGGAGAAAATCTCCCTTTCAAGCTCTTGTAGAGAAGCAAAGGAGGGTGGAGCTGTCCGAGCCCTGTGCAGGTCACCTGTAACCCAGGGAAAGTGGGAACTCTACCTGGAGCATCCCGTGCTCTAGGAGTCCATTCCCTGGAGCCTCCCCCTGCTCTGTCTTGGGTAACACTGCAGCCTGCGTGAAGACGACACGCAGGGATGTGTAATGAGTCTGGGCAGCAGCCACTTAGCAGAGGGCAGGCCCTAGCAGCTGAGCTAGCCCAGCAGCTGTGAGGGCCCTTAGCATGAACTCACCCCGCTCAGTACCATACAGCCTCCCGCGCAGGTGACGGTGGCTATTGGAGCAGGGCCTGTCCTAACACTAGGGTGCCATGCGTGCTCCATTCCCCTCGGGCACCCAGGCCAGGAGAAGCAACAGCTTCAGCCAGGCAGACCCCTGGATTGTGGAGAGGGGATAGGGCCACGCCTGGCCTCATCTCTCTTCTGGCAGCGAGGGAGCCCACAGGGATTTTCTGTGCCCCTTCTCCCTGAGTGACACAGACGATGGTGCAGCTGGCCAGGGCAGGCCTGCCTGCTTCCCCCCCTGCTTGGGTCTGGGGCACCGACTCCAGCCCCGGAGCTGCACCAGGAGGACCGATGGAGCTGTGCTCTGTCATTGCAGCTGGATCGGTTATGAGCACACCAGCTTCTGTGGGCAGCAGTTTATCTTGGAAAGGGGAGAATACCCGCGGTGGGATGCCTGGAGTGGGAGCAACGCCTATCACACCGAGCGCCTGATGTCCTTCCGCCCCATCTGCTGTGCTGTAAGTGAGATTCCCCGGCCTCTTCACCCCGTCGCGTTTCCCAGGAGCCTGCTGCCTTCCTGCGAAGCAGAGTTATGACTCCTCCACAAAGGTGCCTCTTGGGCTCAGAGGGCAGGGCAGGGCTCATGTCTTTTTTGGAATGAAGTAGCCTAAAACTTTTACCAGCTTTTGCTGCTGCAAATCAGCCTGACAGTTGCCTACTCTTCCCTGTGATGGATGCTGCTGGGAGGCCTGGCCTGGAAGCTGGGAGAGTCACTGATTGCTCACTCACTCTCCAGCTGCTGTTAGTAAATACAGCCACTCTGATTAAAAACTCGTCAGTCACTCCAGCTGGGTAGAACAGTAGGACTGGAAGAGACTCGAGAGGTCATCTAGTCCAGTCCTGCACTCAAGGCAGGACGAAGTATTATCTAGGCCATCCCTGACAGGTGTTCGTCTAACCTGCTCTTAAAAATCTCCCGTGATGGAGATTCCACAACCTCCCTAGGCAATTTATTCGTGTTTAACCACCCTGACAGTTAGCAAATTTTTCCTAATGTCCAACCTAAAACCTCCCTTGCTGTAATTTAAGCCTGTTGCTTCTTGTCCTGTCCTCAGAGGTTAAGAAGAAGAATTTTTCTCCCTCCTCCTTGTAACAACCATTTATGTACTTGAAAACTGTTCTCATGTCCCCTCTCAGTCTTTTCTCCAGACTAAACAAACTCAATTTTTTCAATCTTCCCTCATAGATCAAGTTTTCTAGACCTTTAATCATTTTTGGTGCTCTCCTCTGGACTGTCTCCAATTTGTCCACATCCTTCCTGAAATGTGGCACCCAGAACTGGGCACAATACTCCAGTTGAGGCCTAATCAGTGCCGAATAGAGTGGAAGAATTACTTCTCGTGTCTTGCTTACAACACTCCTGCTAATACATCCCAGAATGACATTCGCTTTTTTTGCAACAGCGTTACACTGTTGACTCATATTTAGCTTGTGATCCACTATGACCCCCAGATCCCTTTCCGCAAGACTCCTTCCTAGGCCGTCACTTCCCATTTTGTAAGTGTTCCACTGATTGTTCCCTCCTAAGCGGGGTACTTTGCATTTGTCCTTATTGAATTTCATCCTCTTTACTTCAGACCATTTCTCCAGTCTGTCCAGATCATTTTGAATTCGAATCCTGTCCTCTAAAGCACTTGCAGCCCCTCCCAGCTTGGTATCATCCGCAACTGTTCAAAGTGTCCTCTGTACGCCACGTACAACACATGGAAGTGCCGTTCTGGATGAGCCCACAGGCCCAGCTCTCAGGAGCGCATGCAGCCCCACCGCTGTCAGTGCCAAGATGACGACGGGCTGTAAGCTTAGGGTAAAGCAAGGAGGCTCAATTGAACAGTTCTCCTGGCTGCTCTCCACCGTTGGCGTGATTGCGCAGCATGGCTAGGCCTTAGGGGCAAGCAAGGCACCTCTGAGGGGATTTTTGGATGCACTCAGGATTTCCCCCCCTTGGTTCTAGGATTAGCTGGGTCGTTTTTGTAGAATTGTAAGGCAAGCTACAGCTAGAGGCTGCTAAAAGTCTGATGTGATTGGAAAGGGAAGTGCAGAAACATTGGCTGTCCATCATTGCAGTATCCTAGCCCCTGAACAATAGGGCAGGGGACGTAGATGGCTGCACCTCCCTTCCTTTAGTGCAACGTTTTCATACCTTCTGCTTCAGACATGGATCTCTTACCCTGGTTCATAGATGTGAGACAGCCGGTCAATGGGGGTCAGATCCCAGAGCAAGTCCTTGGAGCAAGGGGCCCATCACTAGGAGCTGTGTCCGTTTCCCCCCCCCACAATCTGTTTGAAAGATGCTACTGGCTTCCCTCTCATGTCTGCTCTATTCCTGTCGCCCAGAATCACAAGGAGTCCAAGATGACCGTCTTTGAGAAGGAGAACTTCATGGGACGCCAGTGGGAAGTATCGGATGACTACCCCTCCCTGCAGGCCATGGGCTGGGGAAACAACGAAGTGGGCTCCATGAAAGTACAGTGTGGCACGTAAGTGAGACACGCAGGCTTAGCACACCAGAGGTGTGAGAGCAGGAGGCTGGCTGTAGAACCCAGTGCACATCTCTAGCAGTGGGTGACGATTCCCAGTTGCAGCAGGGCCGCCCACAGGGAGACGCCTGAAAAAAGCCCTGACCCGCTGAGGGAGTGCACAGCTCCACCCTTGGCACACCTGCAGGAGATGTTCTGACCAGAGCGTGGGTACAGTACTGGGTTAGGTACACCCCGTTTTTCTGCCAGTGCAGCACGTCTGCATTAGGGGCTTACTCCAGTTTAACTCCATCAACTTGCAAATTTCCTCAATGGAGGCAGGGCCAAGGCTATCCAAGTACGGGTCATCTCCATTGTGGAAACATGCAGAATTCATCCTACAGACCACAATGGATACGGGGCACAATGCAGTTTTACCCTTTCCTTAGTCCTTCATCTGTGGCACTGCTCAAGCACATCAGTACCTCAGCATGTGGGCATGGGCAGCCCAGGGCTTTCAGGTGAAGACCACTCTACTTGGGCTAGGGCTCAGAGGAAGCCTTAAAAACTGCAGCTCTAGCAGGAATTTTGCAGCAGCCAGAGGGCAGGTCGCACTCCAGAAAAGTGTCACAACCTGCAGTCCTGTTGGACATAGCAGCACATAGGTTCACATCTGAGCACGGTGACAAACTCATGTTTGTTTGCAAAAGGCTTACCCACAATAAAGCTGGGAAACTAACTCCAGTTTGACAAGAAAAGAGCACTTTCTTCTTTAGTGCCATGTAGGGTCTTTTCCTCTCCCCATTTTCTCGGAGCAGTTTAGAGGCAGATGGCCTGGCTCTATTTCTTTCTGGGTTTGGGTGGGCAGTTCACCAAGACACACCTAGGACAGTTCTAGATTTGTAGGCATGGGGATTTCTCCCCTTTCCAAGTCCAACAGCTTTCTGACTCTTCTGTTTGTTCCAGCTGGGTTTGCTACCAGTATCCTGGTTACCGTGGCTACCAGTACATTTTGGAGAGCGACCATCATGGTGGAGATTACAAGCACTGGAGAGAGTGGGGCTCACATGCCCAGACCTTCCAGGTCCAGTCTATTCGGCGTGTTCAGCAGTAGATATTTGTGTTCGCAGGCTCTCCTCTTTAAAGAGCGTCTTTGCCGGATTTCTAAAGCACACTGATCCCTATGGTGCTAGCACTTCCCCTTACAAAACAGACAGATTCCTTCCTTGTACTGTGACTGCTGTTGAGACATCGTTTCTTCATGGTACTAATTGCTGCAATTACCAATAAATGTCACTGAAAGAAAATGCTACCAGGGTGTTTGGATTCTGTCACTCCAGTGTTCAGAACAAAGGGTACTGAAACTTGCATTAGTTCGTCTCAAATTCACATCACAACTAGTCAAGACATTGGGCCCAATTCTCCTTCCTTCCAATGATTTTACACATAGGTAAGTCCATTGACTTTCAGTGGAGTGTCTTGAGATTTACACCACCGAGTTCAGAATTAGAAGACAGTCTTCTCACACAAGCACACTACTACAGCCGTTACTCTGTCAGCAGGCCAGTTGTCAGCACAACTGGCTCCTTGCCAAACCAACTCCATATAGGTTTATGGTGGACAAGGGCTGCAGTGAAACTGGAGACAACATTGCTACATCACACTTGGATTTTTACTATCGGCAGAAGCCTTCTGTGTTCAAACCACGTGGAGCAGATATGGTCTCCTGGCCACTGACCTGCAGATGGGATGTTCGCCCCATTATTAGCGGTTCTCTCAGATGGGCAGATCCACTCATTGCTGCCCTACAGCTATACAGGTTCAACTTTTTTCTCTGCCCCTCCCCTGAAGTGATAGACTCCAGAGCTCTGTCCTCCTTCCCTTGCACTCCAAAAAGCACAGCACCCACAGTAAGTCAGGGGGAGCTGGGCCCACCTGCCTCTTCAACCTCTTACCAGTGCTGCATTAGTTGGCCATCAGGCATTACTGACCAGCACGGCCCCCTAGCTCAGGACCAGCACTGCACATCAGGGGGACGTGTTCCCAGTGGGATGCTGCAGGGATTGGCTCTTAGCCCTACACTATTTAGCATTTTATCAAGGACCATGAAGAAAACTTGACACAAAAATTAGGGGGAGTGGTACATACTGAAGAGGACAGGTCATTACCAAAGAGCAATCTGGATCACTTTGTAAACTGGGCACAAGCACAGAGAGTGTGTTTTAATACAGCTAAACGTGCACATCTAGGAACAAAGAAGGCAGGCCATACTTCCAGGATGGGGGACTCGATCCTGGGAAGCAGAGGCTGTTGTGGTAGACAATCAGCTGAGCATAACCTCCCAAGTGTGATGCTGTGGCCGAAAGAGCTAATGTGATCCTTGGACGCGTAAATGGGGAAATTGCAAGTAAGACTAGAGAAGTTATTTTACCTCTGGCACAGATGCAGCCACTACTGGGATACTTTGCCCAGTTCTGGTGTCCACCATGCAAGAAGGATGGTGATAAATTGGAGAGGATTCAGAGAGGAGCCATGAGCATGATTAAAAGGATTAGAAAACATGCCTTTGAACAAGACTCAAAGAGCTCAAGCTATTTCATAGAATCATAGAATATCAGGGTTGGAAGGGACCCCAGAAGGTCATCTAGTCCAACCCCCTGCTCGAAGCAGGACCAATTCCCAGTTAAATCATCCCAGCCAGGGCTTTGTCAAGCCTGACCTTAAAAACCTCTAAGGAAGGAGATTCTACCACCTCCCTAGGTAACGCATTCCAGTGTTTCACCACCCTCCTAGTGAAAAAGTTTTTCCTAATATCCAATCTAAACCTCCCCCACTGCAACTTGAGACCATTACTCCTCGTTCTGTCATCTGCTACCACTGAGAACAGTCTAGAGCCATCCTCTTTGGAACCCCCTTTCAGGTAGTTGAAAACAGCTATCAAATCCCCCCTCATTCTTCTCTTCTGCAGGCTAAACAATCCCAGCTCCCTCAGCCTCTCCTCATAAGTCACGTGTTCCAGTCCCCTAATGATTTTTGTTGCCCTCTGCTGGACGTTTTCCAATTTTTCCACATCCTCCTTGTAGTGTGGGGCCCAAAACTGGACACAGTACTCCAGATGAGGCCTCACCAATGTCGAATAGAGGGGAACGATCACGTCCCTCGATCTGCTCGCTATGCCCCTACTTATACATCCCAAAATGCCATTGGCCTTCTTGGCAACAAGGGCACACTGCTGACTCATATCCAGCTTCTGGTCCACTGTCACCCCTAGGTCCTTTTCCGCAGAACTGCTGCCTAGCCATTCGGTCCCTAGTCTGTAGCTGTGCATTGGGTTCTTCCGTCCTAAGTGCAGGACCCTGCACTTATCCTTATTGAACCTCATCAGATTTCTTTTGGCCCAATCCTCCAATTTGTCTAGGTCCTTCTGTATCCTATCCCTCCCCTCCAGCGTATCTACCACTCCTCCCAGTTTAGTATCATCCGCAAATTTGCTGAGAGTGCAATCCACACCATCCTCCAGATCATTTATGAAGATATTGAACAAAACCGGCCCCAGGACCGACCCTTGGGGCACTCCACTTGATACCGGCTGCCAACTAGACATGGAGCCATTGATCACTACCCGTTGAGCCCGACAATCTAGCCAGCTTTCTACCCACCTTATAGTGAATTCATCCAGCCCATACTTCCTTAACTTGCTTACAAGAATACTGTGGGAGACCGTGTCAAAAGCTTTGCTAAAGTCAAGAAACAATACATCCACTGCTTTCCCTTCATCCACAGAACCAGTAATCTCATCATAAAAGGCGATTTAACTTAAAGAGAAGGTTTGGGGGTGACTTGATCAGTCTGTAAGTACTGATATGGGGAACAAATATTTGACAGTGGGCTCTGCAAGCTAGCAAAGAAAGGTATAACACGATCCAAAGGCTGGAAGTTGAAGCAAGAAATTCAGACTGCAAATAAGGTGAAGATTTTTAACAGTGAGAGGAGTTACCCATTGGAACAATTTACCAAGGTGGAGTCCCCATCACAAAACAATTTAAAAATCAAGATTGGATGTTTTTCTAAAAGCTCTAGGAATTATGTTGGGGACGTTCTCTGGCTTTTGCTATACAGGAAGGCAGATGGGATGATCACAGTGGTCCTTTCTGGCCTTGGAATCTATGAATCAATATTATTCGGGTAGCTGCTGCATACACTTGCACTAACCCACCAGGGCAGCTCTGTAATGACAACTCGATACTCTGTTCTCTGCTTACATCCACAGACCCACTTATCTTCGTGCCGAGGGCTCTCTCTAATAAAGTGTGATCAACATTTGTACAACGCTGCATTTTGTCATTGCCTGATAACATCATGCATAAGAGTAAAACTCAAGTAATCAGCACCAAAATATTTTTAAAGGACCCTTGTGAGAGAGAGAGAGAGAGAAAGAAACAGACAGACACCTACAAATTTTAAAATTTTTATTCAACAATTTACATCACTTATTGTCTGTCAATGTATTTGATCTACATAATTTTCTGTTTTCTTCCTGATAAAGTGGTAAATTTGGGTAACTTTTGAAGACCAGTTGGTGCAATATAGAATAAATGAAATTAAGGTAACTTTTTAAAAAACATTTAAAGTGTGGAGTACGACATCTTCAGTAAAGATCTATTCTGCCATTACAGCTCATGGACAGTATCTATCCTTACATTCCATGACACCACTCTGTAACATACAAGGCTGCAACAGCCTGCACTAGATACAGCTACAGCAGGTATTTACGTATTACACTAAATGCTCTAGCCACCCCTCCCACAATCTGGAAAATGTCTACGTCTGTAAATGGGTACACAATATTTTAGCCTATTTCAAATTATTGGGAAGGGGACAAGAAAACAACTACCTTTAACATTGTGTGTGGTAGTACATTGCTACCCCACCAGTAACAGAGAGGGGCTATCCCTCTCAGACATGACGAGGTAATTCAGCTCCTGAGCAGGTAAGACACAGGATCTGCTGTGATTTTAAAATACATACCAGGAAACTGAAGAGAAATGAGAACTATTGGCAGATATACGAGCGCAGGCAGTTATCCATGCAAGACACCGCCTTCTGTGCTCCTGCAGTTCTGCCACGAGAGACCACGTGTATGAGCCCAACTTTCTGGGTCTGTAGTATGCAGTTGAGTTTCAAAGTGCCATTAACACTGAAATAGTCAGGAGGGATTGTGGTTTTATTTTCTCCTAAGTAAACATGTTGAGAGCCTCCAAGCCACTTGGTGCCCGAGCCACTGAAGGCAGTAAGTACACGTGTGACGGATAGAAAAGCAGCCCTGTTCTGTACGGAAAAAGCTCCTGTAAAATAATACGAATTTCAGCCCCAGCTAAGGGAGCACATGGAAGAAAGCTGTTTGCGATAAGTCTCTAACATGAAATCCAGCCACTCCTACACAGCAAGGGCCTGGGCTAGATCACAGAAAAGGTTTTCAAGGATAGTTCAGTCAAACCAACTTAGTGCAGCCACACATCTGCAAAAACAAGAGTAAAGACACAGAGCAAAAATCTTGGCTTGCTGGAGATTAAAGGGATTTTTGCCATCAGCTTCAACATGGCCAATATGTCACCCATTTAGTGCACGCATACTGCGGCAATTAAAACAGCTGAGCGTGTCTCTTGCCTTGCACTATGGGCAAAGACTAAATGGGGTTTTTTAAGCTGTTTTCCCTCTACACCGTTTACAATTAGTCCACCCCACACTTGTCTAAGCAAATGGGTTCTCTGTTAAACTAGTGTCAAGGTAACATCCCATAATCAGGGCTGTCCTTTCAAATGGGATTGAAAAGCAGCGAGTGTAAACTGATCAGCCTTCCCACTCACTGCAACTTCTCAGCTAGTCTGGAGGTAACACCTCCAGTCACGTCCTTAACAACAGAAAGGACACAGTCACTCAATGATATCAAGGGATATACCCAGAAAACTGACACCACACCCTTCTCCCTCTTACTTAAATCTCTAAATTAGGCTTTTAAAACAAAACAAACAAACAAACAACAACACCTCAGGCTACTAAAAGCAGTACCAGTTTTCTGTTAGTTGACTGACAGCACAAAACTGCCATCTTATGTCACACCCTCAGATGGTAAAGCTAACGTATGCAATGACAGCACAGGAATGCAAACAAGAACAGATAAGTCACTTCTGGTAATGAGACACAAATTAAACTTTCAAAACATGTGCATAGCTTTATTCATCTGCTTAGGACTAACCTTTTCATGGAGCTTCAGTGAAACCCGAGTGTGCAAAATGCATTTCTAAAAATTAATGCAAGCAAGCTTTCACA